AATCCCTTCACATATTCTTCCATTCCTTCCAAAAACAATTTTTTTCCTCCACCGCCCTCCCTTCTCCCAAACTCACTTTATATTTTTAAAATATAGTTATTGATTTCTAGAGAGAAACATTGATTGGCTGCCTCCTGCACACCTCCCAATGGGATTAAGCCCACAACCCAGACATGCGCCCTGTCCAGGAATCAAACCAGAAGCCTCTTGGTGCATGGGTTGACACTCAACCACTAAGCATATAGCCCCCCTCGCCCCCAGTTCACTTTAAAGTTGGTCTTCCCAACAAAAGTCCTATTATGAACTATAACCCCCTCCAGAGACAGCAAAGTACACTACTATCATGAAGAGTAACGCTTCATGGCAGTATCTCCCAGGAAAGACTGTTATTGAATTCCTCCTTCACTTCTTTTTTTATATATATATATATATATTGATTTTTTACAGAGAGTAAGAGAGAGGGATAGAGAGTTAGAAACATCAATGAGAGAGAATCATTGATCAGTTGCCTCTTGCACACCTCCTACTGGGGATGTACCCGCAACCAAGGTACATACCCTTGACCGGAATCGAACCGGGGACCTTTCAGTCCACAAGCCGACGCTCTATCCACTGAGCCAAACCGGTTTCGGCTACTCCTTCACTTCTTAATAGTTAGGTGAACTGGACCTGTCACTTAATTTTGTCAGACCTCAGCTACCTCACATATGAAATGGAGACAATATATATCTTGCCTTAGGAGTTATTTCAAGATTTTGAAACATGTTAATGTACCTGGCAGGGTATTTTGGTACAAACAACTGCTTAGTGATAGCTCCACTAAGTTTCAACATTTTTAATATATTTTTATTGATTTCAGAGAGAAGGGAGAGGGAGATAGACACATCAATGATGAGAATCATTGATTGGCTGCCTCCTACACGCCCCCAACTGGGGATTGAGCCTGCAACCAGGAATGTACCCTTGACTGGAATCAAGCCCGAACCCTTCAGTCCGCAGGTGGACACTCTATCTACTGAGCCAAACCAGCTAGGGCAACATTTTATTTTTTTCTAAAACTGAAGGTTGAGAAAGGGACTTCTGATAAAGGCCCAACATCTCTACTGCTCAATTTAAAAATTCAAGAAGTTCTCAAAACCTACTTTTTTCATAACTTTTATGGTGGTAAGCCTGATTTAACTTAAACAATGAGCACATATGTGTGAAAATTCCCAAGTTTTATGAGAGTAATACATTAGATAGGAGCACCACCCCAGACTCACTGGTGATGGTACATTAATACAGTATAGACATCCTATCACCTTTTTTAAATTTTTGCAGAAATATGAACTTCCAAATACACACAGTCCCAATGGTTTCAAATGAGGAATTGTTTACCTATAACACATTCTATATGGAGTCATTCATCAGTAAATGTAATCTAGTAGAAAGGGGACAGCTAAAACTCATGCAGTCTAAATCCAGCTTTGCTTTTATGTCTACACTTTCATTCCTTTGGCTTCAGTTATCAATAGTCAACTGAAGGAACTGGATTTAATTTCTGAAGTTTTATAGCTTAGAAAGTTTTTTAATTAAAAAGTACCTCTGGCCAAAGCTGGTTTGGCTCAGTGGACAGAGCGTCGGCCTGCGGACTGAAGGGTCCCAGGTTCGATTCCGGTCAGGGGTATGCATGTATGTTGGTTGTGGGGATGTGCAGGAGGCAGCTGATCTATGTTTCTCTCTCATCAATGTTTCTGGCTCTCTATCCCTCTCCCTTCCTCTCTGTAAAAAATCAATAAAATATACTTTAAAAAAGTATCTCTGAAAATTATTTTGAATTAGTTGGAACAAATTCCTATTTAAAACATTTGGGCCCTGGTCAGTGTTATTCCCTGCACCGAAAGGTCACAAGTTCGATTCCAGTTAGGGCACATGCCTGGTTCCATGCTTGATCCCCGGTAGGGGGCATGCAAGAGGTAGTCCATTAATATTTCACTCTCACATTGTTTCTCCCTTTCTCTCTCTAAAAATGAAAAACAAAAACACAACACGCGCACATTTTCCATAAAACATTTTCTATAAATAAATTTAAAAAAACCTAGTATGCAGACAGAAAATACTAATAACATTCGTTAAGCTTATGTCATCATCTGTTATGCAGGAATTAAAAAAAAAAAATCCTACCTTAAAGGGTTGTAATAAGGATAAAACAAGTTAAAGTGAAAGCCTCTAGCCAAGTGACTATTTTTAGTAAACTACTCTAAAATGTTGAACACTTAAGTGTTGTTATAAAATTAATTCCCCCTATTATTCAGGCTTTATCGATTATGTGAGATATTTTTGAAGGTAAAGTCTACAGAAAAGTTTACATCTTAGAGGAAAAGGTAAGTAGTGATTACTGTACAGAAAGGGGGAGGGGAAGGATAAGTAATACTGAATGAGAAATCTAGGTTCTAGACCCAATCTGGCACCCACTAGTGTGTGATACAAGGCACTTCATTTGTTCAGGTTCCCATTAAGTCCCTTGAAAAATAAACCTGCCGAAATTTTTGCTAACTCCAACACTGTAATTTTATGCTGTAAATTTGAATCCAAGGCCTAAAACACTTGCACTCATATATACATATGTATATGTATATGTATATGTGTGTATATGTGTATATATAAATATATATATACAGATTTATATATATATAAAATGAGTCAGATACGGTAAAAGGTAATAATAATAATACGGTATGTTACACACATCTATAAAAAACCCTGCAGTAGCTTATTCCCATTTGAAAACTAGTGAAAGCAGCTATTAATAAATCTTTAAATGCTTTGATTATTAAAATGAAAATGAATATTTACAGTATTCTGAAAACCAGAAAAACCTCAACATTACATATAGACCTAAGAGAAGAAACTTACTCCAAAAGAAGATGCGCTGATACTATCATTTTCCAAAATGATTTTTTTTAAAACAAGGCCGATTATTCTGAATCAATGTCAACTATTAATTTTTTTTATTAAATGCCCTCAGGTACATAGATCTTCAATTACACCTTGAAGCAAAAGCACTTCCCTAAGAGGACTTTTTAAATTGCAAATTTAACAAACCACCAAACTCAAGTTTAATTACTTCTGCTTTATTATCGGTATAAGTATATTAAAGACTTCAAAAAATAGTTACAAATAGACTTTATCACTAAAATATGTAATAAAAAACCAAGTTGCTTTGAAATAATTTGAAAGTGATCCCCAAAAAGCCCACAATATATTAACCTCATTTGTCATTTAGAAGCAAATAGAAAGTTAAAATTACTTTTAACAACATACTGAGCAAGAAAAAAAGTTGTGCAGAAATCCCAATGCCCCCCCAAAACTTATAGAGCATGCTTAATATATTTGTCTCCACCTGGTGAGATTAAATATCCAGTTTTCAGCCGAAACCGGTTTGGCTCAGTGGATAGAGCCTTGGCCTATGGACTGAAAGGTCCCAGGTTCCATTCCGGTCAAGGGCATGTACCTTGGTTGCGGGCACATCCCTGGTAGTGGGTGTGCAAGAGGCAGCTGGTCGATGTTACTCTCTCATCTATGTTTCTAACTCTCTATCCCTCTCTCTCTTCCTCTCTGTAAAAAAATCAATAAAATATTTATTTTTTTAAAAATCCAGTTTTCAAGTAAAATAAAGTTCTTTTTGTGTTCCAGTATTTAAATCTGGAAACACAAATTCAGGCAGATAGTCACACTAAAGCCATCATCAGCAGGGACTGGTTTGGCTCAGTGGATAGAGCGTCGGCCTACAGACTGAAAGGTCCCGGGTTCAATTCCGGTCAAGGGCATGTACCTTGGTTGCGGGCACATACCTAGTAGGGGGTGTACAAGAGGCATCTGGTCGATGTTTCTCTTTCATCGACGTTTCTAACTCTCTGTCCCTATCAATTTCTCTCTGTGTAAAATCAATAAAATATATATTTTTAAAAAGCCATCATCAAAGCCTAGTGAACTTAAGTTAAAAAGCAGAGAACAAAATAACAGTACAATTTTACCAGACAGTAATTTACTTTGAGGAAAACAGAAGGTCCAATCCAAGTGGATGGGATACACAGGTAAGTTTTATGCCAAAAAAGTATGCATGCTGTAACCTGGAATACGACGCCTTGCAAAAAGTTGGCTAAACTCTTCCCTGTGGTGGTGGTGAGATATCAGAAACCAGAGACGTGAGTTGAAATGAGAAGGTAGGAAGGCAAGCCAGGTGGTTAGAACTCGCCTCCTGCCCATCACGGGCGCAGGGGACACAGCGCTAGACCACCACCAGCTGGACACAGACGGTCTAGTCAGGAGACTGAACAGTGGAGAACAAAACCCTTTCCGGGAGGCTCCAAATCCCTTTATAGCTCCAGGTCCAAGTACTTCCGTTCCCCACAAAACTTGGAAGAGGGGGAAGCAACTCTTAAAAACATTTAACAACCATTACCTTTACGAACTGATGCAGCAAACACTATGCAAAGTAGCCAATTCCTTACATCGCAAGCGCCGCGGACATGACCTGAAAAGTAGTATTTGCAACAGCTCCCCTTTTAGACCGAACGGAGCCACACCCCTCCGCAAATGGCACATTCCATACCATAGCCAGGAGGCCGGCACCGGGCGAGTCCACCGTCCGCGGGGGCTGGGGGGGGGGGACGGCAAACTTGTTGAGATTCTCAGGGTAAAGTCTCACGGTGCACTGAATGGAAGCCCTTTATTGTTAAAGTTACCGGGTAAAGAGAGGGTTACAAAGACCTCGCGAGGTGAGCGCCGGGGAGAGCGGAGAGCGATAGCGGGAACGCGACCCGCCCGGGATCTGGGTCTTGCGGTTCGCCCGCACCTCCCGGAGGAAGGGCATTTCCCTGCGGAAGGACACGGCCAGCCCGAGGGGAAGGGCGGCCTCGGGGGCTTCCACCCGCTCACAACTCCCCGAGTTCGGGGGCGGGGGGGGGGGGGGGGGGAAGAGGCAGCAGTCATTGCCCAGCGATCGGCTCGGAGCTCACACGGGCCGGAGGAGGACGGGACGGGCCCCGCCCACGCCCGATCCCGGAGGCGGGGCCCGGGGCAGCGCGGCCCTCCTCCCCGGTGCTCCTCCCCGGGGTGGAACGCTCGGGGCCGCTGGAAAAAAGTGCGGTGCTCCCCAGCCCCCAACGCGAGCGGAGGCGGGCAAGGGGCAAGACGGGGGTGTCGGCGCTCCTCCTCGCTTATGGTTGGGGGTGGAGGGGGGGTCCCCCCAAGCCCGGGTCCGCCGCAGTCTCCTCGGGGAGGCGGGCTCCCAGGGGCCGGCCCCCCGAGGAGGTGGGGCCTGGGTGGGGGCACTGACTTCACACCCCTCCCCCTCCGGCCGCGGGCGGTTCAGGGAACACCCCGCCCGCGCGCTCCAGGGCGGCGGGTGGGGGAGGCAGCCGAGCCGCCCGGAGCCCTGCAGTGGCGCGGGGAGGAGGGGAGGAGCGCGCATGGGCGCACGGCCGCCACCCCCCACGCGGCGCCGCGCGCCAGCGGGGCCCCCCGCGCTCAAGGGCGGGCGCGCGCGGGCCCCAAAGGGGGGAGGGCAGACCCCGGGTCTGTGGTTTCCCCCCCGACTCCGTCGCTGCTCACCCCCACCCCCCCACCTCGCCAACCCGCCCCAGGCCTCGGACTCCGCACTGACCTGACAGGCCGAGACATGTTCGCTGCCGAATCAGGGCCGAGTTGAGAAGCCAAAGACCAGGACCCCCCCCAACCCCGCGCGCTCGGCGCCCCACCCCCCCCAACTTTGGCCGAGGGGGCCGGTACCGCCGAGCCCCGAGCTGCTGCCGGCTTCTCCAACAACGCCGCTCCTCGGCTCAGAGGCCCGTAACCAGACGAAGCCCCCGTTCCCCCGTCTCCTCAAAATGGATGAATCAAACCACCCGAAAATGCGCCAAAGCCGCCGTGCAACCGAACACGCTAGGGCTCGTGGGCGCCGCCCCCAAACGCCCGGCCATTGGTGGCTTTTGCCAGCTGCGCCGAACTCATTGGTCCATTTGAATCATCACGTCCCACCCTAGGCCCCGCCCCGCGTTCTCATAGGCCCCGCCTCCCCCACTGGGTCCTGTTAGTCAAGATGCTCTGAGCGCGCACGGCTGCAAAACAAAAATGGTCGCGGCACAGCCCGCCCCCTGGTTTCCACTCCGGACTTGCAGATTCGTTTTGGGTCGCACCTCGGAAGGACGAGAAAAAAAATTTATGTAGGAAATAATGCCACTTAGTGTTAGTTTAACTATCTTTTATTTCGCCTGCTTGATCAACTGAAACCACACGAACAGCAAAACCTATGGGACAGGCTGCCGATTCGTCACTAGAGCGCTGTTTCAGAATTGGAGGGAAATTCCATATGTTCAAAATTTTTTTATTTTAAACCCGTAAACCTCTTCCCCTGGTTTTAGCATTTAGCCCTCAGGGGTCCAATCCCGCTGCTGGAGCAGAAAGGCAGGGTCATGATGAAGGAAAAACTTGACCCCCAATTTCCATTCTGGAACTTGAGATACACTTCAGGGTCACTAAAGCCCCAATCTTGGACATTATTACTTTGGGGGCCTCATGAATAGGAGGAGTATGAACTCTGGGGCCAAAGGTGTTTTGGTTTAAAGGTCCACAGCTTAATTAGCTATATAACTCTGTGCCTCAATTTTCTTGTGTGTGAAATGGGAAACAATATCTTATAGGGTTATTCGGATTCAATAACTTGATATATGGAAAAAGTTTAGGAGAGTCTCTGGAACACTAATAAACACTATATAAGTGCTTAAACTTGTTAAGTTCAGTTTTTAAAAGGTGACCTGATCCCTAGGTAGAGATAGGTGGGATTGATAACTTAGGGTTACCATTAAAATCCGATCACCCATTAAAATCCATGAACATTTGTTGGATGCCTTAACTCTCAGAGGCAGAGCTCAGGATTCCTATGGGAAAAGCAAGGTTTACCCCATCATTGTAGACTTGAATCCCTGACACAGGCAGCCTGTTGGTAAGCAACTGAAGATATATGCCATATCAAACAAACCCACCATGCCTGGCCCCTAAAGTGTCCTTGGTGAACTCTGGTACAGTTCTAAGGGAAAAGACCAGCACAGTGACCTAGTGAAGCATTAAACTTATCTTCTGCCTTTTCCATGCCACTCCACTTACTCCCTTGAATGTTTCTTTTGTTGTTGTTGTTGTATAAAGGTTCATAGCACAAAATTCACCATTTTAAACGCATAGTTCAGTGGCATCACTAGTAAGTGCATTCACATTGTGATGCAACCATTACCACCAACCATCTCCAGGACTTTTTCATAAAACCCAGCGGAAACACTAATTCCCCATTCCCTCTTTTCCCAGCCCCTGGCACCCACTAGCCTACCTTCTGGTCTACTGGCCACTTCTCAAACTTGTGTAAGAATTCTAAACTCCATTTCTTCCCAACCTGAAATGCTAAACTCCCTTTCTCCCCACCTCTTTTTTGATTTGTATCCAAGTCCTAATTTCCTTTAAGTTTTTCTTAATCTCTTTCTTCTTTGAATATCTATGGCACAGATCTTTATATGCCCCCTAACTCCTCTGATAAAACTAGACACATAAAATGTATGTAATCAAAAGTGATTATACAATTATGTGGTGGGGGGGAAATCTTTGTTTTAACAAATTGATGAGAAACAAATTTATCAAAATGTAAATTAAGGGTGGTTTGGGTTTCCCCCCCTCAATTTCCCTTAAGTAGATTTAGCCGAAACCAGTTTGGCTCAGTGGATAGAACGTCGGCCTGCGGACTGAAAGGTCTCAGGTTAGATTCCGGTCAAGAGCATGTACATTGGTTGTGGGCACATCCCCAGTGAGGGGTGTGCAGGAGGCAGCTGGTCGATGTATCTCTCTCATCGATGTTTCTGGCTCTCTATCTCTCTCCCTTCATCTCTGTGAAAAATCAATAAAAATATATTTTAAAAAATACATTTAAAAAATAATAATAATCTGGCCACTCAGTGTAGACTGACCAGAGTTGCAATTTTAAAATAAGGTGTTTCCATGTTTGAAAACTGCATTGCGGGTAGTTAGAAAGAAGCAGAGAACTTACCAGCCACTATCTCCTGGTCCCTTGACATATCAAGATTGGCAAGCTTTCCCTTATACTTAAGTACACTGAGTGGCCAGGTTTTTACGCCTTCAGAGATCATAATAATCTGGCCACTCAGTGTATATTCTCCTATTAGTCTCTTTCTCTGATATATAGCAATACTATTATTATACTGAAACTCTGTAGATAAAATTTGACAGAATTCAAATTATGCTTGAAAGCCAAAGAGAAGGTAGGATTTTTCTAATAACCATGAAAATCATAAGGTGGATATATTTTTATCTTTGGTATTTATGGTGGAATTAAAAATACATGTATAGCCAAAACCGGTTTGGCGCAGTGGATAGAGCATCAGCCTGCGGATTGAATGCATAATAATCTGGCCTTTGGGCCGAAACTGGTTTGGCTCAGTGGATAGAGCGTCAGCCTGCAGACTGAAAGGTCCCAGGTTCTATTCCGGTCAAGAGCATGTACGTTGGTTGCGGGCACATCCCCAGTAGGGGGTGTGCATGAGGCAGCTGATCCATGATTCTCTCTCATCAATGTTTCTAACTCTCTACCCCTCTCTCTTCCTCTCTGTAAAAAATCAATAAAATGTTAAAAAAAAAAAAAAAGAAGAAAAGAAAGAAAAGAGTTAAATTTGGAAATAATGAGGAACCCCAACATACTTTGGCAATAGCTAAGGAAAGGGAATTGGGGAAACCTCTGGGAGTAATTTTGGCTCACTATTAGTAACAAAAGAGCAAACCGCACTTCCTGCTGAGAGGCCTTGCTTGACCTGTGGTCTCTTATTCTCTGCTTAAGTTGGTCACTTAGCTCTCTTGCCCAGAGTTGAAAGCCATGGCAGTCACAATCCCACAGCGCCATTTTCAGTCCTTCCTTAGGTCTCCTAGAACCGTGGTTAGCAAACTGCGGCTTGCGAGCCACATGTGGCTCATTGGCCCCTTGAGTGTGGCTCTTCCACAAAATACCACAGCCTGGGAGAGTCTATTTTGAAGAAGTGGTGTTAGAAGGAGTTTAAGTTTAAAAAAATTTCTCTCTCAAAAGAAATCTCAATCGTTGTACCGTTGATATTTGGCTCTGTGGGCTAATGAGTTTGCCGACCACTGGCCTAGAACATACTGCAGGGAATGCTTGTTTTCTTTTGGGCCATAGAGCAGCTGTGGGTGGAGGGACATCTCGTCTCAAACACGGAAACTTCTCTAGGGAAGGGCTGCAACAGTGTCCACGTTCCAACCAATTTTACCTGAGAGGTGGCATCCAAATGATAAGATCTAATTATTTTTAGCATAATCATATTTCAAGTCATGTAAATATTTTCTTCTTCCTTAATTGTTTTCCCTTTTCTTTATGGGTAGGGACATGGAGAGAAATTAGTTATATTTCAATTTCTTCTTTAATTAATTTTAGGCCTATAATTTTCAGCAATTAGGAGAGAAAAATCCATAAGGGCTGGCAGGCCAGCTTCTAGCAATGCTTGAAAAGGCAGGTAGATCTTGAGTCAGCAAATGGGAAAAGAAAGGATATTCTATTTTTTAAAATGGTCACATCTCTGAGCAATATTTGGGATGTTACTGAATTGGTATTAGGCGATTGGTACCAATAAATTAACAGGTAAACAGAAAAACATTTACCTTCGTTTTTATAGAAGGCATTTAAAAAATAAAGTCTCTATGTCCACAATACTCTTGAGTAATCAGCATAGGCTAACTTTTTGTTTTGTTTTGTTAATCCTTACTGGAGGATTATCAGAGGGTGCTTTTCCATTGATTTTTAGAGAGAGTAGAAGGGAGTGGGAGAGACAAAGAGATACATCGATGTGAGAGAGATACATTGATTGGTTGCTTCCTGCACATGTACATGCCCTTGACCAGAATCAAACCCGGGCAGAATCAATTGAGCCAAACAGGCTAGGGTGGGATAGACTAACATTTTAACAAACTCACATTAAAGGCCAATAACTATTATGAATACAAGATTTATTTCCCACTTATTGCTGGGATTGAAACCAGTGCGTACAAATCAATGTTCTTCTCAAATAAAAAGAATGTTAACCCACTATTACCTTCAGAATCATTGTAATAAAAACCCTACCTGAAAAGGGTAATACAAAAGAGATCTTCAAGATCTCCAAACATTGTGCAAAAGTTATAATTGGTATTAAAAACAAACAGACTGAGGTCTGTCAGTCTGTTCCATATCTCTGGATCTATTTTGTTCGCCAGTTTATTTTGTTCATTCGATTCCACATATAAGTTAGATCTCACCAGTCAGACTTGGGAACCACTGACTTAGGATACATTTAGACAAGGGTCTCTCAAAGAACTGTAGGCCTCGGGGCCCACTTAGAATATTCATAATTCTGGGTAGTTATAAATCACTATCCTGTGAGAATTTAACAAATTATACTGCTTAGAAGCGACTTGATACTAAAAACTCTCCCTGATTTAGCACTTAAATTAGCTAATGATTTCCTGCCTGTCTACTCCAACTCCCAGGCAAAGGTCTGTACATAGTATTTGTTTCCTGTGGCTACTAAGTGCTAGCCACTCAGATTGCTCATAAGCAAGTTGCTCACAGGGTTTTGTTCTATTAACCTCTCCCTTTTCTTCCATTCAGATTCCCAGAGCTTCGAGGATCAGACAACTGGGCACCACATGAAGCATTATGCATCAAAACATCAACCCAGAAACCTGCAGAAACGGCAAACCCCTCCCTTACCCTACTGGTAGAGAGACAATTAGACCACCCTAATTTCTTTTCAGAAAGAAATGCTGGCATCACACAAGATAGATAATTTGAAAGCTTGACCTTTTTTTTTTTTTTTTTTAAAGGGAGGGAGGGAGGGAGAGAGAGAGAAAGACATCTATATGGGAGAGACACATCACATTAATTGGTTGCCTCCTGTTTCTTCCCTGAGCAGGAACTGAACTCACAACCTAGGCCTGTGCCCTGACCTGGAATGGAACCTGCGACCTTTCCATGCAGGAGATGATGCTCTAACCAACTGAGCCACACTGGTTAGGGCAAGCTTGATTATTCTTGAAGCCAAGACAAGAGAAAGCTAATTATGACTTTAGAAGCTTCAAAAATAACAGTGACTAGCCGAAACCGGTTTGGCTCAATGGATAGAGCATCGGCTTGGGGACTGGAAGGTCCAGGGTTCTATTCCGGTCAAGGGCATGTACCTTGGTTGCGGGCATATCCCAGTAGGGGGTGTGCAAGAGGCAGCTGATCGATGACTCTCTCTCATCGATGATTCTAACTCTCTATCTCTCTCCCTTCCTCTCTGTACAAAATCAATAAAAATATATTTAAAAAAAATAACAGTGACTATTGGGTCACCCCCAGTAGCCCCAAACCCAAAGATATCAAGCCCCACTCTTACTGCAGTTCAGAATCAGATCTTTAAATTGAAAGTCCAAAACAGAAAGTATCATGACCTATAAGGGAAATGACCTTTGATTTCATTTTCTTCTCAATCTGAAGTCATATCAGATTGATATCTCAATATGTATCAGATGGAAAAATAAACTCAAAAGCAGCTGAGAATTGTGATCCTTATAACACAGACACTGGTTTCTAGTCCTACCCACAAAATCCCAGATCACAAATGGAGTGATGAGATGACCTTTCTTACACAAAAGGCACTAGCTGTACAGATGATGTCTTGTAGAACTGAGCACATGATACCTATTTGGTTAACCAGTGTCACCCCAGTAAGTCCGATAAAAAGGGGATGAGCAGGAAGGCATTGACCGGACCACATGCGTCAGCAGCAAGTGAGAACCAAGTTTCAGGAGATGCAGAAAAGCACATGGGTCCCAGGTGTCTTTTCTTAGTGATGACGGCCTTCCTTACTGGACAGTCAGCAGGAGACAGTTCAAATGCACTTAATACAACTGCTGGATGGGCAGCCGAAGGGAAGGAACTGGAACCTGGAGGGAAAGCAGGTGAAACACGACTAGCAGCAGCCCCAACTATAGGAAGGCTTGGCTTGGAGGTTGATGTAGTCCCCTTGGGTGGACAAAAACGTGTCTTCTTTGGAATTGCTCATCATCTTTTCAATGAGGACTCTAAAAAACAAATAAAAAATAAGTCTGAAAACCTGATTTGAGGAAAGGGAGAAACAGCAGACATTGTCTTAACGCCAGATGGCGTTCAGTAAAGCCGCCAGGTTTGTCCCGTCATCTCAGGAGAGAGGACAGCATCTCTGACCTTCAGAAGCTGGCATTCAAGGGGCCCAGTCTGTTCTGATTTGCTCAGAAACAAGAAAAAAGGTACAATGGACTGCAGTGGAAGATGGGTACATCTATTATATCTATTTAATTTTATCAGAAATCTGTGCAAAGTGGGTAGATTAAATAAACAAGAACTACATGTTTCTTGTTGGCCATCCACTTGCTATTCGTTATTGATACCATAACAGAGTCAATTTAATGTGTTTTTTTTCTTTTTCTTTTTGTCTGAAAAGGAAAAGCTTATCTTTTGTTTGGAGCACAGAAGCAAGCTGAATCCTGATCTGTGTTATTTCAGTGTCTAGTTGATTTGCACTTGAGGTTTCTGGAACACAAAACCTCGTTTCTAAATACCTGGCAGAATCCCACTGTGAGGTTCAGTGGTCAAAAGATGGAATAAGATCAACAGTTTGGTATTTCAGGAGATGAACCCAGAATTACCTTTGCTGTCAAGAAATAGAATTAAAAAAAAAAAAAAGAAATAGAATTCAGTTCAAGAAACATTTATTAAGATGTGCTATTTGTCAGGCACTGTTCAAGGTTTTGAAAGTATAAATCAAGAATATGGTCCTGATTAAAAAAAAAAAAAAAAGAAGGTACAACGAGCTACAGTGGAAGATCTGTGTGCCCATAAGCTACTCACCTCATGGCCTCATTAACGTTTTTGTTCTCCTTGACTGATGTTTCTGTCCAACCCGTGAAACCGTTCTCCTTACTGAAACGGTCAACCTGGTCTCGGCTCACTGCCCAAGGGGACAGGTCACACTGGCAAAGAGAATGAATAAAAGGCAACACCATAAACTTCCTGGGATTAGGAACATAGTTCAGATACCTGTGGATTAAAAACCTTTCCACCAATGGCGAAGAACATAGCAGCCTCTAAAATCTATATTCAAAAAAATAAAATAAAATCTACATTCAAAATTCCTCCCCAAGAAAGCCTCAATATCCCTTGAAAGGAAGGAGAGATGATTTTGCCAAGTTGAGAAGAGAAAGTGGATCACAAGAATAAGAGAGCATTTTCCTTTACTCTTCTTAAAAATATATATTTTATTGATTTTTTACAGAGATACGGAGAGGAAGAGAGAGGGATAGAGAGCTAGAAACATTGATGAGAGAGAATCATCGATCAGCTGCCTCTTGCACACCCCCTACTGGGGATGTGCCTGCAACCAAGGTACATGCCCTTGACCGGAATCGAACCCGGGACCTTTCAGTCCGCAGGCCGAGGCTCTATTCACTGAGCCAAACCGGTTTTGGCTACTCTATTCTTTTTAAATACTTTTATTGATTTCAGAGTTGAAGGAAGAGGGAAGAGACAGAAACATCAATGATGACAGTCATTGATTGGCTGCCTCCTGTATGCCCCCATTGGGGACCAGGCTCACAACCCTGACATGTGCCCTTGACCAGAATCGAACCCTGGACCCTTCGGTCTTCAGGCCGATGCTCTATTCACTAAGCAAAACCAGCTAGGACTGGAAGAGCATTTTAGATAGCTTGCCCTCTCGCCGCTGATTGAGGCCAGAAACCATTTTCCTAGACTGACCATGTACCTTATTGGCCAAGAGCAGGCAGGGCACAGGCTCTCCATTGGGCAGAGTGAGCTTGCTGTCCAGGTCCTGTTTCCATCTCTGGCTGTTGCTGAAGGTAGTGGCATTGGTAACATCAAACATAATAACACAGGCAGAGGCGTCTCGATAGTACAGGCGTGTCATAGATGTGAAGCGCTCCTGGCCTGGAAGGAGAGGAGAGGTCCCTAGAGGGCGATCCTGAGAACCAGCCCCAGAACCCCCTCTTACATCCTGTCCTTTCTACCTTCGTTGTGGGAGAGAAGGCAGTATGCTTGGCGGTTGAGTCCAGATTCTGTACCCAGGTCATCCCAGTCCAAATCCCTGCTCTGTCATTTACTATCTGTGTGACTTTGGACAAGTCAAGCTTTCAAGGCTAAATATTTCCCATCAGGAAAGTGGACACAGAAAGCAGAGCAGTAGCTTTATCATAGGGTCATGGTCAGGATTAATGAGTCAGTGAATATAAAAAAAAATGTTTAGAAAAGTGTTTGAGCCCAAACCGGTTTGGCTCAGTGGTAGAGCATCGGTCTGGGAACTGAAAGGTCCCAGGTTCGATTCCGGTCAAGGGCATGTACCTTGGTTGCAGGCACATCCCCGGTAGGGGGTGTGCAGGAGGCGGCTAGTCGATGTTTCTCTTTCATCGATGTTTCTGGCTCTCTATCTCTCTCCCTTCCTCTCTGTAAAAAATCAATAAAATATATATATTTTTAAAAAGTGCTTGACACATAACAAGGGTTAGCTATCATTATTGTCTCTATTTCCCAAGTATCTTGTTTCTTATCAAGATCAGCTGGAGCCGGGACCGGTTTGGCTCAATGGATACAGCGTCGGCTTGGGGACTGAAGGGTCCCGGGTTCGATTCCGGTCAAGGGCATGTACCTTGGTTGCGGGCATATCCCCAGTAGGGGGTGTGCAAGAGGCAGCTGATCGATGACTCTCTCTCATCGATGTTTCTAACTCTATCTCTCTCCCTTCCTCTCTGTATAAAATCAATAAAAAAATATATATTAAAAAAAAAAAAGATCAGCTGGAAAAAGCACCCTCTCCCTGCAGTGGGGGCACCCATCTGTGGCCTGGACAATCCACCACCCTGCCAGCCCCTCCACACAGACTGCTTTGCATTTACAGGGCAACACATCTGCAGAAACAGCTACAACAGTTCTGTGTCTGGTCGCTCCCGCATCCTCAGCGCAGCTCAATCATCCCAGCTTCGGGAGCACACTCCTGGTTTTCCTGCCCCACTTTTTCTCTGGCAGCTGGCTGGTTACCCAAACACGTCTTCCTGTGTTCCTACTCAGTCTTCCCAGCCTACCTGCAATATCCCACAGCTGCAGCCTCACCATCTCGGAGTCAGACCACTGGAGAACCTTCAGAGCGAAATCCACTGAAAATATATGTATAATGTAGCTGATTAAAATTTACCTTTAAACAATCCACAGAAAACCTCAGGTCAAATCTGTGGTTTCAACACTAGGGACACACAACTCCATTCATTCATTCATTCAATTTTTAAGCCCTCGGTAAGCTGAAATATATATATATTTTATTGAATTTTTACAGGGAGGAAGAGAGAGGGATAGAGAGTTAAAAACATCGATGAGAGAGAATCATCGATCAGCTGCCTCTTGCACACCCCCTACTGGGGATGTGCCCGCAACCAAGGTACATGCCCTTGACCCTAATCGAATCCGGGACCTTTCGGGCCACAGGCCAACGCGCTATCCACTGAACAAACTGGTTTCGGCAGCCCTCGGTAAGCTGAGATGAGCCCACACTCAGGTATTACAGAAGGAAGTCTTTAGCCTTTACCCTATTGTCAAACCAACTTATTTGATACTATTTGTCTCCAAGGCTGGAATTAGGAGGGTGGGGACATTTATGAAAACAAGTGCTCACCCTGACCTCGCAGCATAAAACCTTTGTTAAAGGTTAAACAGTTTCTAGGAGACTTAGGGAGTTTTCTCAGAGAAGGGATGATAGGGGGCAAAGGGGAAATTAAGTAAGTGTGGTGGCTTTTGCCACTTTCACATTCAATTTCACTCTTGGTTCCTAATCAAAATGTATTATGATAAAAACGCACTCTGGGGAATTCTACATCTTCCGTAAGGCTGTAGGAATTATCTTGGGCAGGAACGGGACAGAGTGACAAAGTCCCAGAGGATTCCTAGAAAGAAGACAACACATAGCCCCGAAGTGTGGCTCAGTGGTTGAGGGTCCATCCATTAACCAGGAGGTCAGGGCACAGGCCTGGGTTCCAGCTTGATCCCCAGTAGGGGACATGCAGGAGGCAGCCCATCAATGATTCTCTCTCACTGCAATCATGTGCTTTCTAGTAGTCTTCTGGGACCTTGTCACTCTATCCCATTCCTGCCCAAGATAATTTCTAATTCTGTCTCATCATTGATGGTTCTATCCTCCACTCTCTGAAATCAATAAAACATATTTAAATGATTGTAAATGCTTGTTAACGTTTTAAAACTCCGTAATGAATACCAGCACACATTTGCAAAATTTACATTGGTGTACATTTTTTTTTTTCCTTTAAAAACCGTGGGGTTTTTTTTTCCTCCTGCTCCCTTTTTTCTGGGAACTCTTTCCAACCCAAGATCTAGGTCGCTAACCCACTTGAGAGAAAATTCACACCCTTGCTGAAACCGGTTTGGCTCAGTGGTAGAGCGACGGTCTGCCGACTGAAAGGTCCCAGGTTCGATTCCAGTCAGGGGCATGTACGTTGTTGCGGGCGCATCATTGTTGCGGGCGCATTCCCAGTAGGGGGTGTGCAAGAGGCAGCTGGTCAATGTTTCTCTCTCATCAACGTTTCTCTCTCATGACTTTTCTAGCTCTCTATCTCTCTCCCTTCCTCTCTGTAAAAAATCAATATATTAAAAAAGAAAAAAAAAAGAAAAAGAAAATTCACACCCTTCAATCACTTCCCAGGCCTCCCGAGTCACTTCCCAGGCCTCCCGAGGAGGCGCTGGGTGCGGGTGTGAGTGAGGAGGGGCAGTGTTTCCCCCGGATCCCTTCGCATCCTCCTCCCACAGATGTGCAGGGGGAGGGGAGCGCGGGTGGGTGGAATCGGGCGTGTGGAGGAGGGGATGAGGGAGCGGAGCGGGAGGAGTAGAGAAGCGGGAGGAGGAGAGGTGTGTGTCAAAAACGTGTATATTGCTGAAACCGGTTTGGCTCAGTAGATAGAGCGTCAGACTGCGGACTTAAGGGTCCCATGTTCGATTCCGGTCAAGGGCACGTACCATGGTTGCGGGCACATCCCTAGTAGGGGGTGTGCAAGAGGCAGCTGATCAATGATTTTCTCTCATGGATGTTTCTAACTCTCTATCCCTCTCTCTTCCTCTCTGTAAAAAATCAATAAAAATATATATATTTTAAAAACGTGTGTATTAAAAAAATGTGTATTTTTTAATGGAGATAAATAAATGTTTGTTACTCTCCCACTTCACCAGCTCTGCCCAGCTAAGCACCTCCTATTTAACAAAAATTTCTACTCCTGAAAAAACAGTCCAAAGATCACCTAGAAAGAAATGGAAAAAGAAAGAAAAAGAAATGATTTAACTCTTTTTTAAAATAAATTTTATTGATTTCTTTTACAGAGAGGAAGGGAGAGAGAGTTAGTTAGAAACATCGATCAGCTGCCTCCTGCACACCAGCTACAGGGGATGTGCCCGCAACCAAGGTACATGCCCTAGACCGGAATCGAACCTGGGACCCTTCAGTCCATAGGCCGACGCTCTATCCACTGAGCCAAAAACGGTTAGGGCTGATTTAACTCTTAAGGTGTTCTCTTCCTTCCTCCCTAACCCAGTTTAAGAGAAAAGGGGGTGGGAAAATAGGCCAAAGAGGTGGTATAGATCCGATCCTTGGAGAATCCCTTTCTTTAAGCAATCAATGGACAGACAACAAACACATAGCCCATCTGCCCAGATAAACGAGATTGTGGCCTCCGGCCTCGCCCCCGCAGGCATCCCGCTATCTGCCTGAATCAGTGCTCAGATAGGTTTTTCATTCTTTCTAAAGGTTTTAAGCGGCGAGGTCGGTGTGAGTGCCTTTCTGCTCCTCAATAGCTGCCTGCTCCTCCCGGAGAGGCAGGACAGCAGCCCAGCGGACCCCTCGCAGGCCCTCCACGGGGTCCCCGCTGCCTCTGCTGCCCGTGACCGCTGGGACGGCTGCCCCGCAGGGAGAGAGAGACCTGAGCTCAGAGTTCCCTGGCGGACGCAGCAATTGCTCCTTTTCTCTCCCTTCCTCCCCTCACCACACCTTCGCCCCATTGCTTTCCAGGCAGTCAGCTCAGGTTGGGAAAACCTGACCGGGGAAACCCCGAACAGGCATGCAACTCAAACACCCAGCAGTTACTCCCTCTAGGATGCCAGACTCCTACTTCCTGACCCGAGGAAGGACCCAAGGACACGAGATCCCCAGCTGCCCACCCTCCGGGAGGCCCCTGCTGGACGGAGTCCGGGGTCCGGGCCCCAGGTCCACCCCGCCCCGCTGGCCGGCTTACCTCCCACGGTGGACTTGTAGTGTTTGCTGAAGCTGTCCTGGGAGTACCTCTGCACCAGGGACGTCTTGCCCACCGCGGCGTCCCCCACCACCAGCACTTTGAACAGGTGGTCGCGGCTGCCCATGGCGAGCGCGGTGGACGGTTTTGGGGAGGCGGTAAGCGCGGGGGGAGATCGCCGGTTTTAACCTCTGTGGCTCCCGACCCCCTCCCTACTGAGGCTCGGCATTCCGCCCACCGCCTGCCTGTTGGGGCTGCGCTGCCGAGAAAGCAAAACGGGAAACTACACTCAACCTTTGCGCGCTTCCTCCCCGCGCGGCCGCAGCCTGGGTGGAGCGCGGGGCGCGGGGCGCGTCCTTCGAGCCCCCGGCTGGCTGATCGCACCCTCTCCCCCGGCCCGCCCCGCTGCCGTGAAACGGATTCAAGCGAGGCGGTGCCGCACCCGCAGGGACTTCCCCGGAGGGGCTCTGGGGAGCGACTGAACCGGGCCACCTCACTTCCCGGGTTGGGCCAGAAGATGGGAGCCCTCCCTCCACTGCACAAACCAAACTCTGAGGCCGGAGCGGCTCACGCCTCCCCGCCCGGGACTCTGCAGGCGCTGTCCCTCTGGTCTACTTGGCGCGCGTCACGTGCTGGGTGTTTGGAGAACTACATTTCCCAGCATACCTCGCCCTGAAAATAATAGTGGAGTGAGGAGACACGCCCGCGAGGCCTCCTGGGAAGTGTAGTTTACGCAGTATTGTTTTTTGTTTGTTTTTTAACTTACACCGTTTCAAGGCTGGCGAACTCCTTCTTTCAACTTTCGGAATGCTATTTTAAACATCATTCTGGAATAGGAAAGATACTTAAGAGGGACTTGGTCGACGTGATCTCATCTGCCTGATTAAGAATTATTCCACAGAGTTCATAAAATTTTCCACTAATAAAAGCTCAAGTGGAAATCCCATTTCCTGTTCTTTCACTTAGGTAGACAAACCCAGGATCTTGTGAACATGATAAAAGCCAACTCCTACATTTCCCTCAGGATCCCCATATCATACCGGTCAAGTTCAGGGACACTTGATCAAGAGACTGACCCTTACAAAAACCCATGCTGTTAGTGTAAGTTATGAACATCTAATTAGTCAGAACAGTAAAGACAGAGAGAAACCTCACCCTAACCGGTTTGGCTCAGTGGATAGGGTGGACTGAAGGATCCCAAGTTCGATTCCAATCAAAGGCACATTCCCAGTATGGGGTGTGCAGGAGGCAGCTGATCAGTGTTTCTATCTCATCGATGTTTCTAACTCCTTTCCCTCTCCCTTCCTCTCTGTAAAAAATCAATTATATATATATATATATAAAGAGGCAGTTCATTATTCTCACTTCCACAATCCCTAGTCTAGCTACACTATTCGTATATCCTTTGAGCTGGAAGCTAATTGGAGTACGCTTTGAGTCCACCTTTTGTTGCCTCTGTTGCTCATGAATAATAATTAGTAAACTATGGTCCTAGTTGGTTTGGCTCAGTGGATATAGCATCGGCCTGCCAACTGGCAGGTCCCAGGTTCGATTCCGGCCAAGGGCACATGGCTGGGTAGTGGGCTTGATCCCCAGTGTGGGTTGTGCAGGAGGCATCTGATCAATGATTCTGTCTCATCGTTGATGTTTCTATCTCTCTCTCCCTTCCTTTCTGAAATCAATAAAAAGATTTTTAAAAATAATGATTAAACTATAGTTTTGCAAACAATTTTTGTTTTTCAACCCGTAACTTTTTTGGTAAGAGTTAAGGGGATAATGAGTTTCATGGTAAGCAAAATAAGCCCCTTTTCTATGCTTTTCTCAGGAATATTTGAGAAAACAGCAGGGCCGCTGAAACCGGTTTGGCTCAGTGGATAGAGCGTCGGCCTGCAGACTGAAGGGTCCCGGGTTCGATTCCTTCTGTCAAGGCATGTACCTTGGCTGTGGGCACATCCCCAGTAGGGGGTGTGCAAGAGGCAGCTGATCAATGTCTCTCTCATCAATGTTTCTAACTCTCTCCCTTCCTCTCTGTAAAAAATCAATAAAAAATATTTAAACAAAACAAAACAAACAAACAAAAACCCCAGCAGGGCCATGGGAAAACAGCCCTGCCCAGGTTTCCTGACACAGAGGCCACCTGGTCTAGGAAGAAGGAACATCAGTGTAGTTCACAACTTCTTTTGCCCAAAATGTTTGTTACCTAGTAGGGGAGGTCAGACTGGACTATTCATATTTCAGGATATCTCAGACCTCATAAATGGTCTTTTCTCAATTGTCATTGGCTTTTACATAGTTGACCAATTTATTTATTTATTTTTAAAATATATTTTATTGACTTTGTACAGAGAGGAAGGGAGAGGGATAGAGAGTTAGAAACATCATGAGAAAGAAACATCCATCAGTTGCCTCCTGCACAACTCCTACTAAGGATGTGCCCGCAACCAAGGCACATGCCCTTGACTGGAATTGAACCTGGGACCCTTGAGTCTGCAAGCCGATGCTCTATCTACTGAGCCAAACAGGTTAAGGCCCAATTTATTTTTTTTTCTTTTCTTTTTAATATATTTTATTGATTTTTCACAGAGAGGAGGAGAGAGGGATAGAGAGTTAGAAACATTGATGAGAGAGAATCATCGATTAGCTGCCTCTTGCACACCCCCTACTGGGGATATGCCCGCAACCACGGTACATGCCCTTGACCTGAATCGAACCCGGGACCTTTCAGTCCGCAGGCCGACGCTCTACCACTGAGCCAATTGGTCCCAGCCCAATTTCTTTTTTTAAATATGTTTTTATTTGAATATGTTTTTTTTTTAAGTATGTTTTTATTGAAACATATAGTTGAGTGAAAGGAAGAGGGAGAGAGACAGAAATGTCAATGATGAGAGAGAATGATCAACCAGCTGCCTCTTGCACACCTCCTGGGGATAAAGCCTGAAACCTGGGCATGTGCTTTGACCTAAATCAAGCCATAACTTCCTGGTTCCTGGTCGATGCTCAACCACTGAGCCACACTGGCAGGGTGCCCACTCTTTTAAATCTGTTTTTCACATGGCTTCCTGAGACAGTTCTTTCTCATTTGTCTCTATTTTTCTTTTCTTTTTTTTATATATTTTATTGATTTTTTACAGAGAGAAAGAGAGGGATAGAGAGATAGAAACATTAATGAGAGAGAATCATCAATCATCCGCCTCTTGCACACCCCCTACTTGGGATGTGCCCACAACCAAGGTATATGCCCTTGATCGGAATCGAACCTGGGACCCTTCAGTCCACAGGCCGAGGCTCTATCCACTGAGCCAAACCGGTTTTGGCTGTCTCTATTTTTCTAATCATCTTTTTTTCCTTCATGGTTTCCTTTCATCCCATCACCCCCTAACTATGTTTTCCTTTGGCTCAATTCTATGTCCCCGAGCTGATTGTCCTGTAAACTATTTAGTAAGTTGCAGTTGACCTCAAATATCTCTCGGGGTCTTGACTTTATTTATATCTTTATTGCCAATCAATTATGGTCAACTGCCATAAAGGTACATCCACTGGGAAGTCCTCCCTCTCACTACATCACCACAAAAACAGCTCCTTTCCTCAGCTTCCGTATTTCTGTTCTCATTATCTCTTTCCTCTACTCAGACTTCAGACCTCAAGCATTTTTTAAAAATTATTTTATTGTAGGAGACACTTAACATAAGATCTACATTCTAATACATTTTAAAGTGTGTGATATAATACAGAAAGATGCAAATTTTTAAATGTGCAATATGAGTACAATGTTGTACAACAGTTCTCCAGACTTTATTCATCTTGCTTAACTGAAACTTATGCCTCTTGGTTAGGAACTCCCTATTCCCCCCCCCCCCCCCCCCCCATCTCTTAACAACCACTCTTCCACTCTTTGATTCTATAAATTTGACTATTCTATTATTTTATTTGTTTCAAATGTGGACGAAAGGGGCCACATGCTAACCTGATAAGCTCAGGGAAGGCCTGCATGGAGATCTTGCAAACTCAGAGCCCTAAAGTAACCACAAAGAATAGTCTGAAATGAAACTTTCACTAAAAGCAGTTATAATGGCCAAAACCGGTTTGGTTCAGTGGATAGAGCCAGGTTCGATTCTGGTCAAGGGCTTGTACATGGGTTGCGGGCACATCCCCTGTAGGGGGTGTGCAGGAGGCAGCTGGTCGATGTTTCTAGCTCTCTGTCCCTCTTTCTCTCCCTTCCTCTCTGTAAAAAAATCAATAAAATATATTTTAAAAATAAATAAATAAATAAAAGCAGTTATAATGGGACTTCACCTCCTAAGCTGGTATCTTTCCTGACAAGGTCAGCCTTTGCCTTTACTGTCTTTTTGCATCTGTGATAACACATCCTTGAAATGTCTGGTTAACTTGTAACTTCCCTTTTTTCAAACCCCATGGGGCACAACCTAATGTGCCTGTTGTTGTTATCATGTTAATTGTTGACTGATATGTGTTTATCATTTTACTCTTTATCCAATCCCAGAGATTTCCCCACTTTGCTTTCTCCTGCTTCTCTAATCTATCACCTGCGTCCCCTCCTTTAAAAAAAAAAAAAAAGTTTTTTTTTATTGATTTCAGAGAGGGAGAGAGATAGAAACATTAATGATGTGAGAGAATCATCTATTCCCTGCCTCCTGCATGCCTCACACTGGGGATCCAGCCCCCAAAGGGGGATGTGCCCTGACAAGGAATCGAACCATAATCTCCTAGATCATAGTTCAACATTCAGCTACTGATCCACTTTGGCCAGACAACATCCCCTCCTTTTGATTGCAATGTATAAAAATAGATGAAAAACCACCATTCTCTGGAGCATTATCCCAACCCATTGAGATTCTGCTTCCCCACAATTGTCCACAGTTTGGCTCAAATAAACTCACAAAAATTCTTTACTTGTTTGAATGTTTTTAAGAGAAAGTTTATTTAGAAAGTTACAGAGGTAGTAAAAGTGAGCCATAGAAGAGATGGGCTAAGGAAACAAGTTACAGAGGCACAGAAGGGCCTTTGGCGCTTAGGAGAGAGGCAGAGGTGATTCTCCTGGGGGAGATAACAGGGGAAAGGAAAATGTCACCAGACAATCAGTGGGTCTGGGCTGCCTGTCACTACTTGAGCCAATTAAGCAGAGACAGGGTTGAATCATATATATGTGAGCCTTTATTCCAATATTGCCGGTCGCATGGGAGAGAAGCAGGTCATTCACAAACATCTGCTCTGCAGCCCCCATAAGCCAGCTGCTTATATAGAGTAGGTCAAGGATTACATGTTGAAGTAGGAGGCTGGGGTATTTGGGCAACAAGGGTTGTTCATCTTTCCATGATAATAGGCAGTTCTTAAATGAGAATGGTTCCAAGGTTGAGTCCCAGGTCCTGGGGCATACAACTCCTAGCCAGGTCAGAATATAACCAACACAAGGCAATCATGGTTAACTGAGCATGGTTACTGTTTCCCATAACCATAGCTAGTCCCCAATATTCTATGTTCAACCCTAATAGAAGGGCATCCGACTGCTACTAA